GAGTTGAAGTCCACAAGCCTTAAAGTTGCCAAGGTTGGAGACCTCTGATAAAGTATAGTCCCGCTTTTTTTTGTATCTTCTCTCTTTATTCGTTTTATTCAGCAATTGATATGACTGCCAGTCTCACCAGATTCTAGGTCTTGTGGTGGTTGTTGGTTTAGGAAGGAGGAGGAGAAAAGGGAGCGATAGTAGATCTATATCCTGATCGCCCAAGAATATTTCAGATTTTATTTATTTATTATGTTACATTATTACATTTATACAGCTAGGTAGTCCTCAGCTTATGAGGTTACAGCAGCACTAAAAAAAATGACCAGTTTTTTCACACTTATGACCATTGCAGCCCCCCCCCCCCCCCATGGTCACGTGATCAAAATTCAGAGGCTTGGCAACTGACTCGTATTTATGACAGTTGCAGTGTCCCTGGCTCATGTGATCCCCTTTTGCGACCTTCTGACAACCAAGCCAGATTCACTTAACAACCGTGGGACTAACTTCATGACCACAGTGATTCACTTAACAAGAATGGTTGTAAAATGGGGCAAAACTCACTTAACAACTATCTTGCTTAGCAACAGAAATTTGGGGCCCAGTCATGGCCGTACGTCAAGGTCTACCTGTATGCCACCCATCTCACTATTCAAGGTGACTCTGAGGGACTTTTAGACTAGAAAGTCACCACAAAACAAAGAAACACACAGCCCATTTGTACGTCTCTTAATGTGACTTATTATAGCGTTGTTCGACTGTACTCAGCAATGAGTCATATAACCCACATTACATATCTGATATTAACACGGTTGAGAAAGTCCAGAAATATTTCACAAGAAGAGTTCTCCACTCCTCTACTTGTCGCTGAATACCTTATGCCACCAGACTTGAAATTCTAGACCTAGAAAACCTAGAACTACACCGCCTTTGGTCCGATCTAAGTATAGTATATAAAATCATACACTGCAATGTCCTACCTGTCAATGAATATTTCAGCTTCAACCATAACAATACAAGAGCACATAATAGATACAAAGTCAAGGTAAACCACACCAAACTTGATTGCAGGAAATACGACTTCAGAAACAGAGTGGTTGATGTCTGGAACACTCTACCTGACTCTATGGATTCTCCCCCAACCCCCCAAAACTTTAACCTTAGACTTTCTACTATTGACCTCACCCCTTTCCTAAGAGGTCTGTAGGGGGCGTGCATAAGCGCACCAACGTTCCTACCATCCCTGTCCTATTGTTTCTTTTTATTTTTCTTATATGTATCCATTTCATGTGTTCATAACTATATTTATACTTATACCTATTATCTTATAATTGCTTGATAGATAGATAAATAAATAAATAAAACAAAAACAAAAACAGTTCTTTCTCCAGAAAGGGAAAAAGGGAGAAATTACATAGTGGATCATATTTCTGCATTTATTTCCTGATATATATGATTCTATGATTCTTATATTTTATATATATATAAAAGCTAAATACCACTCAGGCATCATCACAAAATCTCCAGAACTGTAAAGCCTACAAACTTGAAATTTGGCACGTATGTTCCTCTTGGCTTCTAGGTGCTCACTAAGAAAGGATTTTTCGAAATGACCATCAGAGCATTAATATTTCCTATATTATTATTAACACACTTTGATGCTAAGGAGTTCTGCTCCCCGTCCCCACCTGAAAAGAACTCTGTTCCAACTGCCAGTTGCCTCACGTTCCGTTACCTCAGTTCAAACCGCCAGACATTTCACTCCTTCCTCAGGAGCAGCCTGGGGCTCCTTACAGTACTAAACGTCGGTACCTCACCAAAATGTCTACACCTTCCACCTCTGAAACTTGCTTCTGGACTGAAGGCGGTTGGGGGCCATATTCCCTTATGTGTTTCAGTCACCGACCACCACTGAGCCAATGGATGGTGAACCAAATTTCTCCTGCATAGCCCGATCCCAAAGTTTCATCACGAAGCACAGGGATCCAGCTAGTTTTGTTATACTTTTCCTTGTATGCTGCAATTTTCCCTCCTGTGAAAGCAGCAAAGGAAACATCAACCTTATTTTATTTTTTTATTTTATTCGTTTGTCAAACATGTACAAGATAACAAGTATAAGTATGAACATAAACAAGAACAAAGGAAGTAAATACAGATAAATGGGGACAATAAGACAGGGATGGTAGGCACGCCGGTGCGCTTATGCACGGCCCCTTTAAGGACCTCTTAGGAATGAGGTGAGGTCCATGGAAGGCAGTTTGAGGTTGAAGCTGCGAGGGGTTGAGGCAGGGATGGGATCCGACTGGTATAACTACCAGTTCTGTTGCTCTGCATCGCACGTGAGTCGCACGAGTGCAATTTACGACTTGCTGAGCAGCGCTGCGTGCAAGTGCGCAGTGGTTGGAAAAACTCTTTTTTTCCCGCTTTTTCAACTGCAGCTGTGTCACGCAAAGGAGCTGCGGTTGAAAAAGCGGAAAATAAAGCTCAGGTAAGAGCCCAGGCGGGTGGGCCAAAACAGCAGCAGACATAGAACCGGTTCTATGTATGCTCTATATCTGCTACTTTTCAAAGCAACTGTATCTACAGAGGTGGACAGAACCGGTAGAATCCCACCCTTGGGTTGAGGCTGTAACAATGGAGTTGGGTAGGGCCTTCCGGGCATTGACCACTCTGTTCCTAAAGTCATATTTTCTGCAATTGAGTTTGAAGCGGTTTACCTTGAACTTGTATCGGTTGTTTGTCCATATATTATTGTGGTTGAAGCTGAAGAAGTCGTTGACAGGCAAGACGTTATAGCAATATAACGTAGAGTTAAATATTATAGACTTATTCCTACAATGGGGACTAGACTCTTGCTAAGTAAGGCGGTTGTTAAGAATTAAGACTGAAAGAGATCTGTGCTGACCCTCTGCTCTACATCCAACCCCCCCCAAACCCTCCCTCCCCCGAATTTTCACTTTATAATTTTAACAATCTTTAACAAGCCCTTTCCTTCTCTCAAGTGCTCCTTTCGGAGAAGATGTTCCACGATGCGGCCAAACAAAACGACACGGCGTCCATGATCAAGCTGATCAAGAGAGGGGTGGATGTCAAAGCAAAGAATAACGTGGGTATTTTAACTGGGTGCGGGAGGTATAGAACGGGGTTATTTGGCAAAGATTTGTACCTCTCTGTGTCCCTGTTTCTCAAAATTTAAATCCTGAAGTGTGATGCTTTGTGTTACTTGTGGAATGCACTTTGGCAAGTTGGGATGGCATGAAAAAAGAGGTGGGAAGAATAAACGGAGGAGGCCAATCCTATTGAGAGATTGCTGGTCTCCTATCCCAGGTGTTTTAATCAATCGGAATAGAGCTGGAAGGGACCTTGGAGGTCTTCTAGTCCAGCCCCCTGCTCAAGCAGGAGACCATATACCATTTCAGACAGATGGCTGTCCATCTGTCTTCTTAAAAACTTCCAGTGATGAAGCTCCCTCAGCTTCTGAAGGCAAGCTGTTCCACTGGTTAACTGACAATTAATAAAGCACCAGGATCTGGTAACTATTGCTAGATCCAGGAAATAATGAGGAGGGTAGCACTAAAGCTTTGAGAAGAAACAAGATGACCCCTTTCCTTTCCAAAGCAGTCCTACCCACAAACAAGTGGAATGTAAGTCTGGTTGTAAAAATGTCTTCCCATGGACTTGCATTATAAGATCATGGTTTTCATCTCAGGACTGCAGATAGCTGATCAGCCACTAGGTGGGAGCCAAGAGATATGGTCTGCATCTCATTGCTACTACCTAGTGGTCATGCACGGATTTACAGTCCACATACGCTGCCCCTAACAAAAGACAACCAAGAGATAGATGTGGCTCAGATGTGGCATCAGGTTCCTGCCTTTGTAAATTCCAGGGCTCTTTCAGATCAACCAGTGTTACTACTGAGTGCTTCTAATTTGTCTCAGTTGGATAGGAGCAGAGACTGGGGTGGGCGGGGGACGACGACTGGTAAGTCCCCAATAATGCTTTTTCAAGGGGCAACTAGACTTTGTAATTCCTTGAAGACATTTCACTTCTCATTCAAGAAGCTTCTTCAGTTCATGGAGGAGAAATGAACTATCTTCAAGGAAAAACAAAGTCCTTTTGATAAAGCACCTTTGGGACAACCATGACCTGGATGACTGAAAATCTCCATAGACACTTGGCATTGGCAAGGTCACCATGTGGTGATCCAGGCTCAGGCAGTCTCTTTTAGCTTGCTCCTTAGGAGCCTGTCTGTTGACAGAAGGACTAAGCCAACGAAGAAAAGAATGCAGTTGACTTTAGACTTGCGCAACTTTGACAGAGACAAACAAGGGGAACACAGTTGCTCTCCTGGCTTAATTTCTCTTTCTTTCCAGATAGACAGGACCGCTCTTCACTGGGCTGCAGGAGCTGGCCATGAACAGGCAGTCCGCCTTCTCCTGGAACACGAAGCCTCCGTGAATGGTGAAGACAGTGTGAGCTTTTTTGCCATGCTTTGTTTACTAGCTCGAACACAATGAGTAACATGTCTTTATTTACAGTTGCATATTGGGACGGGGAATGGACAAGGCGGCTCAGTGGCTAAGATGTTGAGCGTGTCAATCAGAAAAGGTTGGCTGTTCGACGGTTCGAATCCATAGTGCCACATAAAGGAGTGAGCTCCCGTTACTTGTCCCAGCTTCTGCCAACCTAGCAGTTCGAAAGCGTGCAAAAAAAATGCAAGTAGAAAAATGGGGACCCCTTTGGTGGGAAGGTAACACCATTCCATGCGCCTTCGGTGTTTAGTCATGCTGGCCACATGACCATGGAGACGTCTTCGGACAGCGCCGGCTATTCAGCTTTGAAACGGAGATGAGCATTGCCCCCTAGAGCTGGAAACGACTAGCACCTATGTGTGAGGGGAACCTTTATCTTTACCTATTTGGGGGGCGGGGGCTCTGCTTATAACACACTAGCCCATATCCACAGCAGGTATCATAGAGTGACGTCATCATGCAAATGACATCACCCTGCAAATGATGTATGTTGTGTAATTTTCATCATTTGCACAATAGCAACACGGCACACAATGTCATTCCATTCCTGTATGGATGCTTTCATTCACACTCAGTTGAACTTACTTTACTTTCCATTTGCACCTCTTTAACCCGGGGTCCCAAGGGGGTCTTTATTTGAGGGGGAAACAAGATTCTTCACAGAACTTTGGACCATTCAGATAGCACAGTAGACTGTTCATCTATGGAGATTCGCAATCATCCAGGTTATGGTTGTCCCATAAAAGGCAATCGGACTTTTTTGTTTTCCTTCGAAAACTTTTCGCTTCTAAATCCTTCCAATCCCCACCATCAGTTAAAACTGAGGAAGCTTCTCGGGGAAGAAGCAAAATGTTTTCAAAGGGGGAAAAAAGGGAAGGGCTCTAAGAAAGTTCAGTTAGCTTTTGGAAAAAGCATCCTTAGAATAAACTGGACTGTTTTTCCCTTCTTTCATTTTTCATAATCTGCTGCTGCATTATAGCTACTTAGTTTCTCAGCCATCAGATTGGATTAAATTGTCTTTTTCCAAAGAGCATTGATTTGTTGTAATCAAAACTTCCACCAAGTGGTTCTGGGAATATTGAACACCTGCTTTCATGCCAATGAACACCGATTGCGAGACAGGACAGCAAAGAAAGCAAGATGTACACACTGAAAAAAATGGGGAAAAAATATAAACATTTATTTTTCCCTTTTCCTTCTTACCAAAAAGTGTCACTTAAATTCAGAGATTTTTTTTCCCTAGCTTCTCAAACACTTTTCAATGTTTGAGAAGCTAGGAGAGTCCATTTTTAAAGTCATGACTATTTTGAAGCAATCCTTTTTGGAAAAAAAAGTGCCAGAACCTCCGTCAGCTTATTTTCATGCTCTTTCATTCCAAAGGCTCGTTTTATTGACTTTTAGGGTGTAGACAAAAATGGGATTATCTTGTCATTTGCATTACTTTAACACTGTAAGTTTCTATGGAAATCAAGATCAGTTGACTTTTTGCTTCTTTGGCCAAGGATAAATCTTTGTTGCTGAAAAGCAAGAAAGATGATATAGAATCTGATGTTTAAATCAAATAATAAATAGTTAAGGGAGCTAAGTATGTATAAAGCCTTAGTAAGACCACACCTAGAGTACTGCTTCCAGTTTTGTTCACCACATTATAAAAAAGATGTTGAGACTCTAGAAAAAGTACAGAGAAGAGCAATGGGGATTATTAGGGGACTGAAGACTAAGGCATATGAAGAACGTTTACAGGAGCTGGGCATGGCTAGTCTAGGGAAGAGAAGGACCAAGGGAGACATGATAGAGGTCTTCCAATATTTGAGGGGCTGCCACAGAGAGGAGGAAGGGGTCAAGCTATTTTCTAAAGCGCCTGTAGGCCAGACAAGGAATAATGGATGGAAACTGAACAAGGAGAGATTTAACCTGGAAATAAGAAGAAATTTTCTGACAGTGAGAATGATCAACCAATGGAACAGAAGTTGTCTTTGAAAGTTGTGGGAGCTTCATCACTAGAGGCTTTCAAGAAGAGATTGGACTGCCCTCTGTCAGAAATGGTGTAGGGTCTCCCGCTTGGGTGGGGGGCTGGACTAGATGACCTACAAGGTCCCTTTCAACTCTATCTGTTATCTGTTATGTCTAGCCTATTGAAGAGAAGGATTGGGGGGCGGGCGAACATGATAACTGTTTTCCAGTGCTTGAGGGGCTGTCACAGAGAAGAGGGGGTGGACTTGTCTTCCAAATCACAGGAGGACAGGACAAGAAGTAACAGGGGTAAGATATTAGATTGCGCGGAGATGGATAGATTGACATTCAAAATAAAGGATAAGGAACAAACAGAATATTTTTTAACATGGGATTTGTTTTATCAGTGGCTAGATAAAAGGGGGAGAAATTAGAAGACAAAAGATTATTACTATGTATAAGTAAATGAAGAAAGATTATATTATAAATAAATAGTATTATTACTATAATTACCAATATTATCACCGTTATTAGTATTACTTAGTATAACCAAATTGACTCAGACAATACACTGTTTTACTAAGCACATGTTAATTAAAGAAAAAATGTATAAATAAAAAATTAAAAAATAAGAAGTAACAGGTGGAAACTTATTAAAGAAAGACCCAATTTAGAACTAAGGAGAAAATTCCTGACAGTGAGAACAATTAACCAGTGGAACAGTCTGCCTCTAGAAGCTGTGGGTGCTCCATCACTGGAGGTTTTCAAAAATAAAGAGGACAACCATTTAACCAGGATGGTATAAGGCAGGGGTGGGATTCAATTTTTTTTACTACTGGTTCTCTGGGCGTGGCTTGGTGGGCGTGGCAGAGGAAGGATACTGTAAAATCTCCATTCCCTCCTCACCCCACTAACCTGCTTTCCAGCTCTGTTCTCCTGTGCAGGGCAACCAAAGAAGACCCAGCCGATCAGCTGGGACTCTGATCAGCTGAGACTCGGAAGGCAGAGAATAGATGGGGGCAGGGCCAGTCAGAGGTGATATTTGGCGGTTCTCTGAACTACTCAAAATTTCCGCTACCAGTTCTCCAGAACTGGTCAGAACCTGCTGAATATACCACCTCTGGTATAAGGTCTGCTGCCTTGAGCAGGGAGTTGGACTAAAAGATTTTGAGGTCCCTTCCAACCCTATGATTCTATGTTCTAACTTTCCTTTTCTCATCTTCCTGTTTTCCAGTTTGGGATGAGTGCACTTCTTCTGTCGTCTTGGTTTGGTCATTTACGTGTCCTTCAGGTCCTGGTCAATGCTGGTGCTAAAGTCAACTGTGTAAATAAGGTAGGGTAGTTTTTTTCTGGATTGGGGGTCTCGACTGACAAACTTTCTATGGACTCCATAGGAAGAAATGAACACAAGAACATGGATATCCGAAGGAGGCAATCACAGCATTGAGATGCAAATTCCCTTCTTAGCATACTTCCATGCAACAGGACAGTGATATTATGAGAGGGGGAAACTGGTATTTTGCGGACACAATGCACATTCTGTCATGGTGGCATCAATAAAATTGGGAGCACCTGGCTCCTATGCCATCAAGATCTGCAGAAAAAATATATTGCGTCTGTTAGGAATAACAAGGTTACCTAACGTAAGTAAGGTAAAATAATATATATAAACTATGATAGTAAGTTTAAGTGTGTGTCACTTTAAACTGCAAAGCAGGTAATTTTGGGTGCAGTTGTAAAACCGGCATAAGAGGGAGCAAGAGAACATGCTGGATTGCTGACTATGCTGGATTGATGGTTTGATAACTGCGTGTTCCCTGCTGCTGAGTTCTTGAACGTCGAAGGAAGAAAAGAGGTTTGACTGTTTTATATCTCTACTGCGAGGAGATATATTACTGGACTGATATTTGTAAGTTTACTGACCTCTTTATCGACACTGGACTTTGCAACTGAATAATCCCCAAACGGACTGAACTAGTGAATGATATATGGACTGTTTGACTATGATAAAACTCTTACTGGAATAAACTATTTAACTAGCACAGTGTATCTGTTTTACTGAGTGTAAGCTACAAAAACGTTTATCTCACGTATTTGCCTGCCTGCCTGACTGCCGTGCACATTCTGCTAGGGTGTATCCCTAACAGCGTCTTCTGGATGTGAAAAGTTCATGCAACATATTCAGCCAGGTCTATTAGAGAAATAGTGGCTGTTCACATAATATATTTATTGAGAAGGGGAGAAAGCCACTCATCTCCCCCATACATTTACAGCATAAAATAAAAACAACCATACAAAAAATATGCCAGAAGGAAAACAGCCATTAAAGACAATCAAACACAAATGCAACCCAAGATCTGGGAAAAAAGCCAAGTGTTTTAGAACTATTTTGAACACAAGTAGGGTGGATCTACATTCTCAGTGAAAGAGAGCAATAGGAGATGGACTGGGTTGATTCAAGTAGCTTTGAGACAACACCCAGCTGAAATATGAGGAAATTACTTTAAAGGTAGTTTCAGGGAAGACAGTTTGGGGGCTGGGGCATTCAAGACACATATGTTGGAGAGCTTAGAATTGTTTTCATCCCACAATACTGTATGGAACCAGCAATGCAACCCTGTGCATGTTTTGATCAATGCTAACTCAGAAGGAATCAAATATGAGCTGACAGTTGCAAAGCATAGAAAAAAAGTGCTTCTTTCATGGCAGCTTTTCATTTGCTTGGCAACAGGCAGTGAAATTTCACACATGGGGGAAGGAACTAATTTAAAAAGAAATGGACAGCTGCTTTCTTCTAAAACCTCAATCTTGGAAAGCATGTTTTGACCTTCCCCTTAGGACAAGACCATTCAGTTAGGGGTGCAACTGATTCTAGAGGCAGCGACCTTAGAAAGACAGGGGGTGAGGGAGAGATGGAGATTTTTTTAAAAAAGTTAAAATGTCTGCTGCAATTACATGATTCAAACTCCACCCCCTTTTTGCCAGCATTACAAGGGGGTGGGGCCTCAACCTTACAATCATATCCCCCATCTTGACTTTTATGATCTTCTCCTAGGACATTCCTGCTTCGAGGTCCTAGCTGTGAACGGTGGCATTACCTGGGACCTGAAGACCAAGATGGGGCAGGTGGCTGATTTATTCCTCCACACCTTGAATCCCTCATCCTTATTTTTTTTTTTCAGAATGGCCACAACCTCCTACACTGTGCTGCCCAAAGGGGTCATCTCAAGGTGATGAAGTTCATCGTGGAAGATCTGGAAGATGTGCGGCTGGAAAAGAAAGATAAGGTAAACCTTTAGGCTATGTGTAGTCTTCCTTTCCCCGGGTCCATGAATTGTTTTGGGATCCCCAACAGGGGGCCTTTAAGTTCTAATGTACTTAAAGATTCTTCTTCTTCTTCTTCTTCTTCTTCTTCTTCTTCTTCTTCTTCTTCTTCTTCTTCTTCTTCTTCTTCTTCTTCTTCTTCTTCTTCTTCTTCTTCTTCTTCTTCTTCTTCTTCTTCTTCTTCTCCTTCTCCTCCTCCT